TTGGCATTGTTTAATACTTGTCCTAGCTTTTTCTTTGTAACAACCTTCAGTGCAGGCAACCTTATTCTGTTGCTTTTGTGCTGTTCTAGATGCTCAGTTATTCTTTGTTCCAATTGTTTTTTAGTTAGAGGTTTTTGGTCTTTTTGAGGAGAAGGCTCTACCTTCTGAGCTACTTCTGGCAAGGCTTTGATGTCCTTGTCCAGGATACACCTCTGCAGTTCTTCCAATTCTACTTCTGTGAATACTTTATTTTGTGTTACAAATCGACATGGATCTGCTACCCTCTGTTCTGTTATTTCTGATTCTGGATGTTGTTTTTTCCAGAGGTGGTGCATTCTTTTCAGATATCATCTTCATGTTGGACTTGATTTGTAACAGCAGATCATTATTTCTTTGTTTTCAGTCTCTTTATATTTGCAATGGGTAAACAACTTTTCTTCCAGTAGTTCTGAAGCTGTTAGCCCTGATTGCTCAGCCAACAGTCCTGAGTCCTGTATCCCACTTGTTACCAGATGTCCAGGAACTAGAACACCTAGCGTGGTCCTTGTTGACCTGGGCGTCAACTGATCCAGGATGGGTTTCTGTAAATTATCCTCTCTCCTTATTGTTTATGGGAGAGACACTCTTTGTCTGGCTCCTCTGATGAGACGTGTCCAGTATGGTTGAAACTCTAGCATAGTTCTCATCCTCCTTGGAGCACAAGCCTCACAACCACGTCAAGGTAGGCCTTACTGGGGGATGATGATGATGATGATTGATGATGATGATGATTAAAATTTCTATGCTGTGTGACTCCCAGTGACTCTCAGCAGTTTACCATTGTTAAAATTAAAACAAAAATTAAAAACAGAGAATAATACCAAAACATAAAAACAGCACAAGGCAGAACAACAACATTGGCAAAGAAAGCAAACAGAGTGGGATGAGGACAAGGAAAAGGAAGAAAGGGGCCTCAGTCATCCTTGCTAAAGGCCTGGGCAAAAAGCCAGGTCTTTAGGGCCTTTCAAAATATCAGTAGGGCGAGGGCCATTCAAATTCATGATGTCATGATCTTCCTAAAATCAGTTGGTCTGTGTAACATCACTTGCATATTTTGAATCTTCATAAGTTCTAGAGTATACTGAAGAATGCCTATTGTGAAGGCTGAATTTAGATGAAACAGTTGTATGAAGGTGGGTGAAGGAATTAAAGGGAATAATATAAAGAAAGAAAATCTCACATGATAATAGCATACTTCCAGTAGCCTAATACTATTAACACTGACTGGCAGTAATTCTTCAAGATTACAGGAAGGAATTAGCCTTGGGGTCAACATCTATCCTTTGGAGCAAGGTCCTCAGATAAACCTGACATCTGAAATCCTGTTGGTTGGTTTTCTAAAGAAAACCCTTATCTATCTATCTATCTATCTATCTATCTATCTATCTATCTATCTATCATATGGCCGCCCATCCCACAAAAATTGACTCTGAGCGGTGTATACCAAGCCAATAAAACAATAGATATATAAAACAAACATTGGCTAAAAACATATAATAATTATTAAAAAAAACTTTAAAAGCTATAAAAGGAGAAGTAAAACAGAAAAAGAAAATAATAGAAAGAGGGATGTTAATGACACTGGAGCCACCTCACTAATTCACTTGACTCCTGGGGTCCTCAAGCCTGCTGGCATAACCAAGTCTTGAGGGATCTTTGAAAGCTCAGAAGTGATAAGGACAAATTCAACTCTGGGGGAAGAAGATTCCATAATGTGGGCACCATGCAGAAAAGGCCCACTGCCTAGGGCCCGCCAAATGCAGGTCCCTAGATGATGGAACCCGTAACATACCACTCTACTGGATCTAGTGGGATGAGCAGATGAACTCAGGGAGAGGCAGATATTACCTCATTACTCATAGATGTACTGTACTTTCAGCTTAATTTCACTTCTGAAAACTGCACTGAATGTTCCCACTACTCCTTTTTTTCAAGAGACTCAGCTCCCAATTAGTTATTACATAGCAACATATTTTAATAGTCACTGATATAATCTCTGACCTTTCATGGAGAACATCAGTGGGTTTAAGTGCTCCAGTAGCAAGACATTTGAGAAGCTGCTATGAATGGATAGCTGAAATATGGCAAAGTTAAACAAGAAATACAAATATAAGGGCTCTATCTTTAGGAAATATATGATGCCATGAATTGAGTATCTTTTATAACATTTCATAGATGAATCATCAGAAGTTTTTGTTCATGAACATTTTCCAGTCAGACAAAAAGATCTCATTCAGAGTAAAGTTATACATTATAGGGCATTGCACTTGGGAAATTTTCTTTTTTCTTTTAAACGTAGCATTAGTTACATATTTATCTGCCATATCTTTATAAAGTATATTATCCAAATATTCAACTTGGCCACAGTGTAACTGATAAAGGCACAGTTTGGTCTAGTGGTTAAGGCACCAGGCTAGAAACCAGGAGACTGTGAGTTCTAGTCCCGCCTTAGGCATGAAAGTGACTGGGTGACTTTGGGCCAGTCACTCTCTCAGCCCAACTCACCCCGCAGGATGGTTGTTGTGGGGAAAATAGGAGGAGGAAGGAGTATTAAGTGTATTCACCACCTTGAGTTATTTATAAAAATAATAAAGGTGGGATAAAAAAAATCTAAAAAAAATCTTGATTTAAATGTCTTTTCCACCTATATCTTTGGTACTGGTCTGTGTTGCCATTGTCTATAAGTGGCAATGGTTTGGGGGCACAGCAGCCCCAAGACTTCAGCACCATTTTGTAATGTGTGCCTTTACAAAAAATGAAAAAAAGGAATCTATGTTGCAGATTTTTTTCCATGCTGGACTTACTTTCTGATACTAGAAATAGATGTGGGAGAAACTTCAGTGGTGGGTTCTTCTATTGGTTACATTTTTTTGTGCTAATGTGGTGGTCTGGGTAGTAGCAACTCAAATTACTCTTAGTAAAGTGAATGCTAAGTCCTTATTTTTATAATTACTATGACATGGAGAGATACTTGGCAAAAGGGAAGAGTAGAGTTTTAGTTACTGTCTGCAATGAACTTCTTGTTTGGCAGAAAGCAAATGTTATGTGGTAAAAGGATCCATTGTTTGTTTGTTTGTTTCAAATGACTGTTTTGGCCAATTTTTGTATAACATGTTGTGAAGTACTGAGGGGTAAGCTTGTAAAGATTTCTAGAATTACTGTAAATGATGCTACATGATGATAACAGAGCCACATCTTCAGGTATGGACTACCAAATGTCTCTGAAGAGGGAAGGAGGTTTGGGCTATCATTTGAAAACTTACAAGAGTGTTGGAGTTACAATCAAAATCTATATCCTAGTGAAACAAAAAATCTGCAGAACTCTGGGGAGACAATTAATACATAAGATATTTGTGAAGACCTCTTTAAAGTGAGCCAATTTGAGGTCAGTTAACCTCATCCTCAGTTGCTCAGTTCCTGGCTCTGAGGCCATGATAATTAGATCAAATGAAAAAGGTATGAATAGGAGAGTTGTTGAAATCTTTTTTGGCTTGTTTTTTTCCCACTGCACAGACCTCTTCCCTCAACAGTGTTTCCTCCTCCTGACGTTTGGTCTTAAGCTTCCCTCAACCAGGTCCAGGGCAGATAATGTTGGACTCCATGCTGGGACTTACAGTTCACACATCTAAAGTGCATGAAGTTAATAAGGACTGACCTACACAATGACTTTTGGGGCTATTAATAAGGGAATATATTAGCCAAAATAACATTTATTGCAAAATAAATTGCCAATGAAATAATACATTGAAACTCACCTCAGTATCCTGATGACCTTGGTATCACCAATCTGCTGTAGTGAATAATAATATTCACTTACTTTATGGAGTTGTTATAAGGATTGTACATACGAACTGTTTTCAATATGTGAAACCACTATACTTGAGGTAGTTTCAAGAATTGTTCCATAGTCCTCACTACATCAAAATGGTTGACATAGTGTGCAGTTAAGAATGAGGTGTGTGATCCTATGGATATTTCATCATGTCATCTATGTTTATTTGTTGTTGTTTTTTTGCACAGCATAAAGAATGTCACTCCAAAAGTAGGAGATGCTGAAACCCGTAAAGCTATTCGCCGTGCCTTCGATGTGTGGCAGAATGTGACCCCTCTGACATTTGAGGAAGTTCCTTACATAGAAGTGGAGAGTGAGAAGAGAGCCGTGGATATTATTATAATTTTTGCATCAGGTTTTCATGGAGACAGTTCTCCCTTTGATGGGGAAGGAGGATTTTTGGCTCACGCTTATTTTCCTGGGGCAGGAATTGGAGGAGACACTCATTTTGACTCAGATGAGCCATGGACTTTGGGAAATCCCAATCATGATGGTAAGAGCCCAGTTCTATTTAAAGAGAATTAACTAGGTGGATGTTTCCATATAGATAATCAGGAATTGCTTTTGACTTAAAGGCAACTTTACTGTTTTTAAAAAAGTAATAGTTGATACATTGGGAGGTGGGGGTTGTGTATTATCACTATGGTATAAATTGTGGAAACACAACTGGAATTTGTGCCTCTGCAATTTGGTAATTGGACACTGTATGTTAGTGCTATGATCCTGGGGACTGTCACGTTGCCAAAAAGTTTGGGGACACTAGGGCCATGGAATACACAAACTCATTTCAAATTGGATGCCTTGAATGTAAAGGATTTTGGTAGTCATCTAAAAAGCAGTGAGCATCCTTTGGGGAAGCTTATTTGATAGTAGTTATATTATCACAGGGAAAGCCCAAACTTAATCTTGCTTCTATAATTTACAACCTGATGAGAGGAAATCTTTTCTCCACCATAATAGATGCAAACTCTTTTGCATACTTTCTTGAATATCCTTTTGTCAGGGACATTGTAAGACCCAGCACCCAATCCCAAAATAATTACATGGTAAGTAGCATTCAATTTATAGCTGTCAAGAATTAATTATTTTCTGTCATTAATCTTTTTGGTGGAATTAAATGTTTACATACACAAGAACAGATTCCCTTCCACCTCTGTACCCACTCGTTTACCACCCATTCTATTTATAATGATACACAAGATTATTCTAAGATTGTAATCTGGCCTAATAGAGAAATAAGAACATCAAAAAATTCATTAATTATAATATGTCCAAGCAACCACTTGCTTATCCTGTATATATTCAGTTTGGATTCCTAGTGGGAAAAAGAGTCATAGCTAAGCAAACATGAGAATATCAATTTGTTCTGTATTCAAAACAGTTTAGTTCATAAAGGTTTTTTTCATGGCAATTGCCACTATCAAAAGCAGTCCTACAAGAAATGAAATCAGAATCATGTTTGCTTAACATGAATGCATTTAAGAATGCATTTAAGAACATTTCAATGTAGTAGTTCTTTAGATGTCTTAATTAATTGGAGTGGCTTGCTACATGAAGTCTGGATTCAAAAGTAGCAGTCAATGCTACATTTAAAACAATACATTTAATGGTCATTAAGACTGAATAATGATCAGAGCTCATTAGGGAATTCTTTGTAATGTCAGGGAAAGGAAGGAACTAATTCTGTACGGAACTCAAGTGGCCTTTCAACTACAGCAACAAAGACTTTAAAAAGGGGGTTATGAATAAATTAAGGTGTATTGATTGGTTTGGGGGTTCCTTTATTATTTTTTTTCCCAGGGATCTAACATTTAAAGATTCAGCCTCTGTTTGGACGATGTTTACATTTAAGTGCCTGTAACAAGGATTTAATCTAATACTACCTAAGATGTGTCAAGCATGGCAACATGTCTAAATGGTCCATTTTTTTTTTCAGTGTAGGAGGCTCAATAAGACAGCAGTTTATTGATCTTAACTATCACAGGAACTAATAGCAACTTCACTTATGTCAAATGGAATCCTACCTTCTTGACAGCAAAATGAACTCTGCTGCTTGTGGTTTTCTTTGAGCTATAAATCTCAGCTCTGTATAAGAGGAAGAATGAGATAATCTAAGAACCTCAGTAGGATGAAGATGATATGGGATAGAATTTTAATTAAAGACCTAAATGAGGAAATATACAAACTTTACACTGCAGCACATTTTCTTTGATCTGCTAATTAAAGATCAAATCTACTAATTGTATACGTTCAGCCACACAGTCTTTATTATGGAGAGTCATGCTCCGGAACCAAAGAACCTGTGCTGAAAATTGAAGGTTCCTGTGCTGGCCCAAGGGCATAGTTGGTGCTGCAGATTTGCTACTGTTTCTCCAGGCTCTGGAAAAGTTAAATAAGCATGGGGAGGTTGTATATTCAAGGAAAAGAATAAATGGTGCCTTTATGGCCAACTGAAGCTATGACTCTCATTTTAACCATACAGCTATTGCTTGCCAAACCAGACTTATCGCAGCTTACTACCAGCTGCCTCAGACTGAATAATCTCATATTTGTAATATAAGTTAATGTCATGACGGAAGCATTTGTGATATTTGCACTGTTGTAAAAGATTAGATGTTTGTAAATTTTAAGAATCTAATTACTCAGTTCTCCATATTTGTATTGCTGTGATATACAGAAGTGCCACTGTACTGCTGGTGTAAAATTAATACTTTGCTAATATAATATTACAAACTGTCAGTATTCTTTCCTTAAGCATTTATTTCTGTGTAGAACAAGTTTCTGGATCAGGCATATAGATACTGTACATATATCAGTGTTAATAAAATAAGAAAATACATATATTTTTCTTTCTGTTAATCAGTTCAATGTACATTAAATAATAGTATAAATATTGGGGAAATTTCTGAATTATCAGTTCATGGCAGAATCTTGCTCCTGATAGTCTTTTCTATGGCTGGTAATTGGATTCATATACAGGGTACGCATGGTAGATAAAGGGAAATCAACCAACCTGCACATAATGAGACCAACAAACTCTATTTCCTTATATAGATTTGCATTTTTGTTTTATTTTTAAGAATGGATATTTTAGTTTAAAGCAATATAATTATTAGGTTCAAAATTATTATTTAGAAGAATATTGCAGTATTATCAGGTAGCATTCAAACAGGATTTTTTGGCAAAGAAATGCAGAAAAACGTGTTAATAGTGTGAAAATGCAACATGAGTTGATAGATTCATATTGTCATCATTGATAGTTCATGCTATTTCCACCCTGATATCTGCTGTATTAAAGCATTAATTGTGTTCCATTTTTTTCTCCTGGACCCTTTTTCAAGTTCTGAATTTTTACCATTGAGATCATACACATAGAATATAATTACCTAATAGTGCCAAAAATCAGAAGTCTAGCAGTATATTTCTATAATAAAATGACAAATTTAATAAAAATGATTTTATTAAAAGGCTTAATATTTCATGAGCTGTAGCTGTAGCTCACTTCACCAGATGCATGGAGTGGTTAAAATTAATGTAGGATTTGAAAAAGAAAAAGAAAATCTCACAAGCCACAACAAACAGAATAAAGATGCTAACAATGAAACAAACCCTGCAACAAACCCAGAGGTCTACTTTGCCCCCACAGCACCATCACAGACCCAGCTAGGTCCTGCTAGCATTTTGCAAATCCTTGAAGGCCTGTAAGTTCTCCCAGGCATGAAGGTCTGGAGGTGGAGTAAGCTGGTCAGTGTGATTCTAAGTTTGCATGTTTTTTGCTAGATTGTCCTCAGGAGCCATTATGTCATTATGTTGCTGCTGTTGTTATTTTCATGCCTTCGAGTCAGTGTTGCATCCTAGTGGCTGCCTTAACTAGTCCCTGCAGTTTTCTTGGCAAGGTTTTTTTTGTTTTGGAAACGGTTTGCCATTGTCTCTTTCCTAGGGCTGAGAGAGAATGACTGGCCCAAGGTCACCCAGCTGGCTTTGTGCTTCAGGTGGGACAAGAACTTAGAGTATCCCAGTTTCTAGCCTGATGCCTTAACCACTACTCCAAACTGGCTCTCAAAGAAGCATGTGTGCCTTTGAGTCAGACTCCTGACAACTGCCTGGACTAGTCCCTGTCCCTGTTGTAACTTGAGGACTACCTGTATATGCATCTGATGAAGTGAACTATAGCTCACAAAAGGTTATGCCTTTTAATAAAATTTGCTAAGCAAAAAAGGTGCTTCCAGACTCCTGCTTTTTGGCTACCATAGACTAATGCAACTACATTCTACAATGTCTACACTGATATCTCCAGGTTTCTCTTATCCTAAAGTCTAATAATTGTATCCAGAATTCTCTGAGAAACACATTTTCTTCCTGCCTCTTCCAATTATTTCTTTTGAAACCATATTATCTGCTTCCCAACCTCATGCCTCAAAATTCATTGCATTATAACTCTGAGAATTCCCAAGAAGATTTTCCCAGTCTTCGCTGTATCAGATCAGATTAGATGGTGATCTGTATCATAAACAGTATATTAGACTGCAACATTAATATTGAGAAAACAGATTTGTTCCTATAGTGGTTGTAGAGCCAGGCAAGAACTTTCCTGTATCTTGCACCCTCCTGAAAAATCAGTTCCCAGAAGATTGAGCAATCTGCACAGCACAATAGAAGGTGAAATGGGGCCTTTTGGAGAAATAAGGAATTATAAAAGCATTGTGTTTCTGTAGTGCTCCACTACAGGAATGAAATGTTCTGCTATACCAATCATGCTTGTGTGATCAGAGGGATTCCTTCTGTTGATCAAAGAGAACCACTGGAGAAATGTCTCTGTCATTAATGAGTGATCTGTGAGACACCTTGGGATGTCCTGTTTCAGCTGAGGTGCTGAAATTCAAAATCAAGAATTTGACTTTGAATGGCTTATGAAGATGCACAGGCTACTAAAAGAGAGAGAGAAGCAAAAAACGTTAAGTGAATTAAAGGTATGAATCATTCTTCAGATTTAGACTTCACCTTCTTCCCCCCACCTTTTTCTTTTCAGGTCAGATATATAAATTGTGGTTTTTGTGTGATGAAGTACATCTGAAGTTCAGCCATGTGAAATATCTGATGAAACAGACCAGAAATTCAGTGACAGACTGTAGAGAAGCTAAATTGAACTCCAGAGTGTCAAGAGAATTAGCTATCTGAGTGATTGTTTTTCTCCTTTTTGTTCTTCTGGCCTACAGGAGGCTGGGAAAATACAATCGCTTGATTATTTAGCAAAAATGCAAATCACCCAATCCCCTTGGCTCATTTTCCACACTATATTGCTCTGCTAATGAAGGCAATTTGAATTCTCCATTTCTCAAAAGAGGTGAACAACTTCTTGGAGTACTCACTAAAACCTTAATATATTCTGCTTTCTATTTTCATAAATCTTGTTCAGAGTTAATGTTTTTTAAAGCGTTCATATTAATTCCCAAACAACATGGGCAATAAAGTTTTGCAAGGAAACAAGCCTTA